TCCAAACACTCATCTAAGAAAGTAAGGGCCTCCTGCGTTGCCCAGGGGGCGCTGCGAAAAGGGACTTGTTAGGACTTGTTATGGGTAGCACAAATTTTAGCGTATTAAACTGTCACGCATGCAGAAGCGTGACTGCTCTGGTGCGGAGCGCGAGACCACGATGAAATTATAAAGAAACAACAAAAACTCGGACGCCGCCAAAGCTAAGAGCTTGAGCCAAGAGATGTCGTTTCACGCGTTCCAAAGTAGACGTGAAAAAGAAAAAAAAAATATGAAAGCTTCGTGCCACAGCTGTTCTGACGTCACCACCCAGATATAAGAGACGCGTGCCCTAGCGGTGGTGTCATGAATTTGGCACTTTCGACTGTCTCGCAACGTTGAGTCTGGCCGATGTCTGGCGTCCAAAGGTTTTTTGTTTTTTTTCGTTCTTCAGCACCACACAGGATTAAAAAAGATCAACCGACGTGCCATAAGTAGTGCGAGGCTCAACTACCCAAAATGAGAGCGCTACAGTTTGTTCAAAGCTTCAGCGCAGGAGGCCTATACACCTCACTATATGAAAACACGAAACCTGTTCTATACGCTTTGGGCAGGTTGTTTTTAGCTCAGAATGAACCCCTTCGAATAAGGTGCGTTGGCTAGCACCGTCTATGATCGTGAACTGTTCCACCATCTTATGTTCACAACACTCAAAATATCAGTTAACACGTTTGACGAAGCAGAAAAAAAAAAAAAATTAAGGCCGCTGCTTTCGATCACCCAAGTATGGGAACCGTGTTCCGGTTAGTCGGAAGTGGCGCCGCTAGATGATTTGGCATAAAACGCGCGCTGTAGAAATCAAATGAACGGAGTTATACGTATTCCCTCTCCTATACTTCGTGTCACTAGTTGCGTGCAGTACAGGCGAAGGCAACGCCAGGCGAGGGAGAAAGGGAAAGCACTAGGAAGGTTGGGGAGGTGGGAAGACACCTCCTCTCCTGTCTAGCGTTCCTAGTGCTCTCCCTTTCTCCCTTCGCCTGGCGTTACCTTCGCATGCACTGCACACAACATTGCGAGAACGGGAGGGAGGGGGGGTTTTACGTGCCAAACCAACGGCGGGCATCTGGCAAACGGGAGGGAGGTCCACCCCTTCCGGCGCCAGCTTCCAACCTTCTACAATGCTTTGGCACCTTCTGTGCCTCGAGTGTGCAGGCCAAGTTCAAGCACTGTGAAGGGCAACTAACGCCCGCTGGAGACAAGGCATTCAAAATAGAAGCCGTTCCCATATCGTCACTGACGATTAGCGACGTGTGCGACCCCCTCCCCTTAATTGCCGATGGCCTTGAGGGTATTTAAAATAATTAATAAATAAAAGCGTCGCTGCAGTCGGCTTCCCACAATTGGCCAACCCGCAGGCATATGACCATTGTCAGACGGTCTACTTCGACTTCGCTGGCTTAGGAAGGCAGTGGTTCTACCGTGACTTTCAAACACGCCATCGAGTTTGTCGTCGCGACAAACGATAAGTAACCAGGGCCACAAATCGCGACGTCACGGCATGACAAATCCTGGTCATGACGTCACGGATGGAAGCCCTAAGACGGCGTCACCGCGAAGCATCCCGGCGCTAATAGTACAGAATGTAGTATCCCCTTCAGCATCTTTTTGGGGAACACGACTGTTTCTTTACCCTGGAGAAATCATCGAGTTCGCCCCTCTCCGCAAAGAGTCGATATTTAAATTTCGTAGACGACACCAATCTCGGCATCGTCCTCCGAGGGCTCCGCAGGACTCTCCCCGCTCGCCGACAGGCGAGACCTATGATCACAAACCCACTTGATAGCAGTGTGTTTTACTGCTAGGACTCCAGGTGCAATAAACGGCTCTCAGTCGCAGTCCCCGTTAACGATAAACTCAACTTGTCATTCGACGCATTTTCCTTTAAATATACTTAGTATACGACTCCCCAAAACGCGCAAGGTCTATCGCCCCGTGAGCCAGTAGTCGGCTTCTATAAAAATGTCAAACACTGCACAAACTGGGCTGTGACTATAACCGGGGTCACCATAAAAAGAACAGTCGCTCAAATTAAATTTATTGGATTTTTTCGCGTACTCTTTATACCCTACAGGGTTCTTACGGTCTAGTTTACGAAGAGGTTAATGTTCTTTTTTTTTTTCTCTCTCACTGCGAAGAGTTTGACGACCACCAAGCAATAAAACAGGGCCGTTTATGGTTGTCCTCGGAAGAAAACCCACGCCGCATCGTCAACATCATCAGCGGCATTCTTGACCTTATTTTGAAGCGTTATTTTCAGTCTTTGTTTTGACTCGTAAGGCTCATGCCAGTTCTGGACTCTGCTTTTTTTTTTTTTTTTCTTATTACTGAGCTTTGTTCCCAATCGTAATATAAGTAAAACATTAAGACTCTAAGAATGAGTTCACGAAAGAACATTTCGCAGAATGTTTTGGATGCCGCAAATGATGATTCGCTAAGGAACTTGCCTAGACATAAAAAGCTGCACTCTAAAAAAAAAAGTGTAGTTTTACAGCCTTTTTTTCGGTATATAATACACCCCAAAACTTCAGCTCGACCTACTGACGTTGATCTGATGTCCCCAACTTTTACGGGGAGCTCGATAACGGTGAGATATAACTTATTAAACAGCTAAAGGCTACAGAAAAAAAAAACACGCACACACACACTGAGGTTTTGCAGTGGGGCAAAAAAAATATATCATAATTTTGATTTGTCGGTAACACGTACTACATTAACTCTTTTACTAAGTTGTACCGCTCGACTATCCAGTTGCTCGTGAGAGTTGTTATACCGTGGGTGGGACGATCAGTGTGCTGTACGTCGAACGGAAGTTTTGGCGTGTCTTTTATGTAGGGCTCCGTGTTTTCGGATAAATTCGAAAAACAGTTTAAAAAACACTCGCCAGTTAGTTTTTCGTTAACTAGGATTTATCCAAAAACTCCAAATTTCGAGGTCACAGCGACAAAAAAAAGCAAAAAAGACGGAGTTCTACAACTAATCTTTTGTAAGAGCACAAGGTCAGTGGTCACGAGGAGATTCTACTTCAGTTTCCTTTAAAATGTAGAACTACTAAGTTTGCCTTTTAGCACGTCGAGGTTACTTAGGAACAACAGGTGATGGTACCCGAACCTTGTTTACTTTGTTTTTGATTTTTTTTTTCCAGGTTTACGCACTAAAATAGACTCCGAATTTCAAAGAATTGGGAACCTAACAAAAACAAACTCCGATAAACCCCGAATTCCCAGCCAAATATAAACTCCGAAAAACACCCTCCAAATTTCACGAGAAATAAACTCCGAAAACACGGAATCCTACTTTTATCACACAAAGGGAGTAAGACTACACCACCACCACCCTTTTTTTTTTATGTCGCCGTCAATTTAAGCAGCGTGGGGCGTGGCGAACCTTGAACATCGTGTTATCGCTTTGAAGGTAGGGCTTCGGCATCAGTCATTGAGAAAGCCGAAAATTGTTTCCGGATTTCGGATAGCGGAAAATGGATTCCGGATAGATGAAAACCGGGTAATAACTGCCCCATTTCCGCCAGATGAAAGCAACACTTCCGCAAAGGTTCTATTTGTGCAGATGGCGCGGCAGGGTGATACAAGACCTGTGGTTCAGTTCGTCCTGCGTGATGCGTATACCTTCTTCTGTAATTAACCCTGCTAAGTTACGAAGAAATCCTATTTTTAGCTTTGGCATATTCGCTGCTCTTTTGAAATAGGTATATACGGCCACTGTCTTTTGAGACAGTGATCCTATACTGAAGGTGTAGCTTTGAAGGTTGTTAGGCGCGTATTTATTCACCATGAAACTATTACAAACATACGATGGGGACGGACAGCTCGGTATATACGCAGACGAAAAAAAAAAACATCCACGACATAACAAAGTTGTGACTTTTCTCTTCCTTTTTTTTATCTTGTATCCTGAGCTGTTCGTCCCAGTCATATTCGCAAACTGGCTCAGTGTGCTCTCTTAGTACTAAAGAGGGTTACTATGGATATAACTAATCTAAATTTGTTTCGTTATTTTTTTTTTTCATTCGCAGAGCCATCATCCGGGAATTCAAGCTGGTCATCAGGGGACGACGAATCGAAGCTACGGCTTGAGCAAGCGGATACGACGCTTATCAATTTCAGGACAGAGACACGAAAAAAAAAAAGGAGTCAACAGCCGACACCCACCACGAAGCTTAGTGAACCTTCCGTTAAAAACGAAACGCATAATTCTGACTTCACAAACGAACGCTCAGCTTTTCGTATACCAGACTTCCTAGACATCAGTCAGCCATCGCGAGCCCGAACGAGTCGAAGGGCGTATACAAAAACCCAAGGAGTGCCGACATCCTGTGACTAACGTGAACTGTGCACACCACAGATATCAACCTAACAAAGTCAGCCCAAAAATTAGTCATCCTCACGAAACGTTATCATTCCCTTGGCCTCGGTCATCCGTTCATTTTGAGACAAGAAAACTCCCTAATCTTCGCTGAATATCCCCGAATACCCCGCAAAGTTTAAGGCAGCAATCGCTTTTGATACTGTTATCGTGAGGCGCCCTCCCATTGCCGGCAAAAGGAAAGAGAGCACAGTTGACCCGATTCTCTCCACAGGGCTGAACTCGGCACAAACTTACCTCCTTCATTACATCAAACGACAGCCATAGTCATTAGAAAATTTTTGAAAGCTTTCCTTCGAGACTTAATTTTTCAGCCTCACAGGTCTTCTCGCTTCGAACTTTGCCGCGCTCTTTGCACACCGCTTGAACATCCGACGGCCTTCATCGTGGACCAGAAGTGACAGAGCGAGCCTTTTAGTGCTGGCGACGGGGTCCGTGCTGGCTCGACATCGACGACATTGGTGCCCGAGGACAGGGGAACGTCTGACCTGAACGTCGGCCATGACCATGCCCTAGGTCGGCAGGCCTGTGCCTGCATCATCCGTGGTGCGCGCTCGACCGGCACGTGAAGTGGCAGCGTCATGCCTGCGCGAAAGGGCTTGCTCGCACCGCAAAACACCTTCCTGGATACCATCGCAACCAGGTTTGATGGAACTCGTAAGTACCCCACCCTGCCCGTACATTTGCCTTCGGTGAGCCATCATAAGGAAACTTTTATTCGCGGCTGTATGGATGGATGGATGAATCCGGCTGACCCCTTTGGATAGGGCTGTAGCTTACGCCACCTAGCGGCGAGGGTTTTGGTACCGCCGTCTGGTGGTATTTTTTCACAACCCAGAGTGAGAATACTTTAACTTCCTCTGCTGGTGCAATCACGTGCAATACCAAGCTTTTATGCACTATAAAAATGAAAACATAACAGCGTGGGTACCTCGTGCACTAGCCGTAGTGAGGAAAACAGAAGCGCACCTTAGCGAGCTTCCCACCGCGAATACGCACTAGCATTTCTTAAATGACAATAAGCCTGTTCATGCTGGTATTGCCAGCATGAACAGGCTGGCAATACCAGCATGTTCTCGCCACTCACCGTCCATGTTACCTCGTTAGCGCTGCAGTTCGCGGACAAACCTATAGAGTGGCTGTGTGATTGTTTCATAAGAACAGCTTACCATATTTTAACATAAACAAGGTCTCTGTATTGTTAGCCACCCTTGTCGCAATCAGAATGGCATGGATGTGACTCAAGTAAGAAATGGTGACCGACGATATATATCAAATTGTTCCAATAATCCTCATGTCACTGGTGAATACGGGTTTAAGTAGCGCACCGAGGATAAAGATAAATGAGTCATCTAGTGTTAAGTATGTAACACCGATGACGAAAGACGACTGTCCTACTGAGGACGAAAGTTTATTTTCAAGAACTCGCTCTCATATGCTAAAGTATACGACATCACTCACGTGCCGAGCGCAGCGTATCACGGAGCAAAATGAGTGATCACTTAACCCTGCTCGCTCGGCGCTCAGAGCTAACGCTACAAGCTGCAAAAAAAAAAAACAATTATATTCTAAAGTTTTGCTCTCTTAAATCAAAATTTATTTTTGTAAAAAAAAGGCGTATAACTTTTAATTTTATCATTTATTCTTGCCTTTCTTGAACGAATATCACCAACAAGAAAGCTTAGTTGTCTTTTTTGGGGGTACTGTAGTTGTGCAGACAATATATTTGAGTGATAAGGGTTTACTCCCAGTGACTCAAGAAAAAATACTAAAAATTCCGCCTCAACATTTGTATTTGTATTTATTATGAGTGCCCAATAATGACCGAAGCCTACACAGATTGGTGAACTTGTTAGTAACAATGCAGCTTACATATAAATACAAACAAGGAAGGTTTCATAATTTCACACACTTCTTTAAAAGAAAACTAAGAAAGCATTAGTTCCAGGGCATAAACATTATTTCAATACACGAAGCAAGCGTTTCTCAAATTGAGGTAAGTTAGGGTGGAAAATTTTTATGTCATCCGATTCCGGATGATTGCAATAGTTTTGCAGCCGGCCTGAGGGTGACGTAAAGTCAGTATGACTGACATGGAATGGACGATTATAAGTTATAACGAACATTTCTGCCGGGTACATGAGAGTTAATACATGAGACCAAAGAGCTAATATCGTTATAGGAATGTATGCATTTAAACAGGAAGATGTTTAAATGCATTCTTTGGAAGATGTAGCACTGAGGATATTCCAAATCACAGAGCAGAAGTCGTGTTTTGGAATAACTATGCTTCGATAAAGCGCGAGGAAAAAGAAAACACACACAAAAAAAAAACACTTACTAAATCTTGAAATTGCACCGAGAAGACAAGCACATGAGAGGTGTCCAAAACAAACAATTACCCGTTCTGCTATTAGAAATGTATGGAAGGGTCGAGTTATTTCGACAGACTGAATATCTGCCCTTCCGGTAAAGACCAGAGGGCACAATGTTTGAAAATATCAGTGTGCAAACGTATCAGAGATAAATCAACGTGTTAACGAACGGAAGGAGGTCTGTGTCCCGGAACGAGGATCAGAAAGTTAAAACCTAAAACCCTATGCGCCCTTTTCTTTTTTTTTTTGGCGACAATTTTAGAAGCGACATCTATTGCGTAGCCCCGACACACTTCCTGTTCACCTCTATTTCCTAATTTTTTACTCATCATTCTTTTATCTTAAGAGTGAATGAAGTCCGACAGTGTTATAAGTGGCCATTTCCTGAAGATAGCGTGCATATCTGAATTCGCAAGCACTCCGAAAAAAACCCCGTCTAGCTCAGAACCGGAAGTGGTTGGCGATATTTGCACACTGGCGCCACCCCGTTTCAACTCATGCGAGAAAGAGTGAATACCTGGTTTCGCTCGAAGTCAGGACGCAGGACGAATCAAAGAGCCTCAAAAGCGCAAGTCACTGGGTCTTCCCCTGTGAAAGACCAGTTCAGCGATGATAGAACACGTAAATACACGCAACGAACACCATGTCGTTGCACTTTCGACGCTGTTAGACTGGCCCCATGAGCTGGTAGTGTCTGCTGCGTCCGAATATAAAGCGAAACAAAGTAAAGACTCGTTGAACACATTGTTAGGGGTCGAAGTTTACGGTGGGCGGCAATCAGACTCTCGAGACAATAGGGACTTTTAGGAAACCGTTACCGGTGTTCCTTATACCGCACTACCGGAGCCCTTGAAGTATGCTTTTAAGAGTGCGCCCGCGTGATACCGTAACCGCGGAGCACGCGCTTCAAAGGCTCCGGTAGTGCGGTTTGCAGAACACGGTAACGGTTTGCTGAAAGTCCCTAATGACACCTCGCCTTTTGAAGCCCGAGTTCGCGGAGCGTGCGCTCCGCGAACGCTCTGCTCCAACTTTGTGTTTGGCACCCCTAAAGACCCAGACGATCATTAAGTAAAGTCGCCTACATCAAATTGTCCATGCGTTTCGATAAGGAAATACAAGCTCCAGGTATGGCAACTGAACTGCAAACAAGGAAGGTATTTAGGAAACGGTGTAGCTAGGCTAGCCAGTATCACGCTACAATTTGATCGCTATGCGGCCCATTCTTATTCTATTGGGTGCAGACGGAGAAACAAAGAAATTGGCTGCCCGGTCTTGCCGTGCCGCCACAAGGACGTTCCCGATCCGCCTAGTGCATTAGTTACTCCCGGTTCTGCGCCATTACACGGAATCTCGTCAACACAGGACTAGCGCCTATTCAACCTTGAACACGAGTGCCCTATGAAGAGGCAGCCTCCCACCGCGAGCAACACAGTCAACAAAACCATCGCGCAGCGAGGCCACTCAACGGGAAGAAAAAAACACACAAAAAAAAGAAACGGCAGCTGGTTCGATGTCGGCACTCAAGCCGGTCACGAGTATCGATCCCCGTGAAGCGAATGAAAGCCAAGAACTTAGCTCTTTCCCCATAAGCTAAAACAAAAAAAAAAAAGGAGTTGAGAGAAAAGTTTAAAAACTGAGAAGACAAAAGATGGTACATCTAAATGCGCGAGCGTGTAGTCCACTTTGAGACGGTGTCCGGGGTTGTAAGAGATCCGCTTTATCCGTTTCAACAGCGTACACGTAGGGAGGGACACCTCGACTACCGTCCGCGAATCGCTTGAGACTCTAAAACACCATTTCTGTTACGTGTGTGTGTTCTTTTTTCTGTTTTCTGTCTTCTGGAAAAGACACTGTGTAAAACGGTTAGGGCTAAGCGAAAAAGGCCGCTCGCTGCGAGAGAAATCGAGTGGCTAAAGTGTACTTGAGATGAAATAAAAGGAAACGACTCGAGGAGAAAAATAAAGTGTCAACCTAATGAGAACTAAAAGGCTGCAAAAGACTAAAAAGCCTGCACCAAAAACGCTTTTTTTTTTCATGTGGCTTCTTAGAAGAAACTTGGAGCGCTTCTCATAATGGAAAATGCTAGACGAGTCAAAAGCAGCGTATCGAAACACTTTTACAAATGTCAGTGGTAACAAAAAAGATTTAAAAAAAATATTTAGATTTTTTAGAAAAACAAAAGGTAAATAAAAGGCTAGCTACGATTTTATAACTTTTTTAGTAACAAGGTATATCCTCGCCCAGAGCGGCTGACAGATGTTTAATCCGACGTTCGATGACTAGCTCTTTTCGCGAAACGCTTTAAAGAAATTGTCCGTGAAACCTGTGAGTGGGTGTTAGAGGAAATCGTGCAAACTACATCTGCTTTGGCATCTATCGCCACCAATAAACGTTTCAACGGGGCCTATGCCGCAGATATTTAGCTTCAATCGTTCACGTTTCGGTACGGCAATCTCTTCTTCTTTTTTTTTTACAATTTTCTCACACATTTTTGTTATTACGTTAGATCAAAGAGTCTCCGATGCAGTCAACTTAAAAAACGAAACCTATCGCGTTTTTTTTTTTTTTTATCAGTTTGAGTGTAGGAATTGACCCTAACGCCAGAAACGCAAATGCCTTCAACACAAACATTTCATACCGATAACTTACTTTTCTCTGCACGGAACGGATATTTCGAATTTAAGTAGTTATAACTTGGATTCTTGCTTGACGTTAAAAGATGCAGTAGCGTATAAAGTAATCTTGAATGTGACGGCGTGTTGATCCCGCAGGTTACCCTAACCTGGCAGGGACAAAAAGAAACTCACTGCTAGAGGAATTCTATTTAACGACAGCTTAAAAAACACACGGGACGTATCTCAATATAATAACGCTTATAGCTGGGAATCACACCAGCTGCATTTTTAATATCGCAGTCCCATCGAATGCGAAGCGTTAATAAAAGTCTCGGGAGTCACCACCCCTGCGTTTCTTAAATTGTCGGCGACCATAGAGAACTCGAGCGCGCGCATTTAACACCCGCAGCTGCGCAATTGAGTTGACGCGAATGACATAATTCATCCATGGGTTATTGTTTCATTATTTGTAGATGTTTCTACCGAACAACATATCAACTTATCCGTTTTTGTCGCAAGTTCGGTTAAAAAACGGCAAGCGCTATTTTGTTTAAAAACAAAACTGAATGATGTAATGTGCGCAAAATTAGGGGGACCCAGAGAGTTACGAGTAAAACATTTAATTAACGAGGTTACTCAAAACGGAAGCTTAGTTTTTATCGGTTAATAGGTTAATCAATGTTGTCCCTATATACGTTTACACACTATGCAAACAGCTCAAACGACCAAGACGAAATGAAGAAGCAAACACGACAGAAGTAAAGATGTTCGTCCTTTAGTGTGTGTTTCTTCGCCTTCCGTCGTTTGAGCTGACTTCATCGTGTATAACGTTCACCAATTCTCCCAATTTGCTACACCGCTCCCGTTATCGCACTGCCTCTTTTTTTTTTTTTTTCTGTTTCAAGGAGTAGATCTTATGTTACCTCAAATTAGCCGAACATACGATCTCTCATTTCACCTCCCTCGCTTCATCTTGCGAAAGGAAAAAAAAAAAAAAAGAAAATGCCCGTGCTATTCCACAGAAACTTTCTTAATCGAAAGTTACAGCTCGGCGTCGCAAAAAGACAAAACTCTCGTGTCAGATCCGCTGTCACACCTAATACCACGCCCGATCGCGTTTCGTACACGGCTCTACCCACCTTTTTTATGTGTAACCTCTCTTTTCTTTCATTCTTGTTTTTGTTCTAGTTTATGTTCTCTGCCCTACCTCGCCTTTTCTGGTGGCTATTGCCTGTTTCAATTCTGCGTTTTTCGTTTTGCCGAGATTAGGGCTTCTTTACGTTGACGGCTTTCAGGCTTTGTTACTATCTTTGTACCGCCGGCTAAGGTTCGGCTGATTCCTTTCTCTGGGTTTGGCCATTCTTTCTCTGGGATGGAAGCCCCGGCAAAGCGCCGTATATGGCCAGCAGTGATTTCGTATACGTTCGCGCAACAAACGCGTTGACGATAATTTCGAGCAGACGCCGTTAGACACGGATGGCGTCTGGCCGTAGTTATTTGGTTGCTGGTGTGTTCGGTGCGGCCAGAACAAATTTGCGAGAGTTGCGTAAGCGCCCGCCGTCATACCGACCCTGAATTCCGCTTCATTGCGAACATTGCACCTACCCCTATCGTAAAATAAACATAGTGTCCTTGGAAAGAAAACGCAGACTTCGTGGAATTCGATATAATATTACCACGAGACAGTGGAGAGTTGCATAAATTTCCGCGTATTTTCAAATTCGATGAAAGCCTCTTTTATAAAATACCGAAGTAATTATTTCGTTTCTATCCCAGTTTCCCGTCTCACTCTTTCAAAACGCGGAATCTAGACGGCTATTCCTTCTTCGCCACTGAATAGCTCGAAGACGATTTGTTATTTTTAATATCTAACAATTGATGTTGCCCATATTGACGAGGGGGTACAGATATCTGATTGAGATAAACTGTCAAAAGCAAGCAGTTCGAAATATTTTTTAAATATATGTATGTATTTGCTAGTTATTCTTTGCATTCTGACGTTCGGCACGGTCGACAATAATCGTATAATCTCCGATTATCTAAAACGTACGTGTCAAGTCAGGAGAGTACGTTGGCCCAAAGAGGTGCGTTACTGAAAAAAAAATGTATGTCTCCTTCGGTGGTACCGGGTGCAAACGGTGAGTCGTAGAATACGGTCAAGCGTTGGATTTAGTGCATAATATGCATTAACTAAAACTGCGCATAAGTATCTCGACTGATTTCTACGGTCCTTTCACCTGTCCTTTTATATTCGTCGGGAAATCTTCCCCGCTAAATTGTAAGGTCAAGGGTAATATACAACCTGATGTAACGTCGAAACTTGCAGAGTCCGAGCAATAAACCTACGCTAAAAACTATGGTGCAAAACAAAAAAAAAACGTCACGCTTAAAAAACAGAAATGATGGAGTCACTGAGTACCTAAGAAACGTGGACGGTGGCCTATTATATGTTCGTTCTTCTTAATTCATGTTTGGTTCTTCGGAGCTCTTATTGGTGCAGCGGAAAGATGACAAGGTGCACCTCACTCGCCACGCTTTTTTGAAACTGTGAGCGACCTTCTTTCCGAGACTGACTCCGTCTTCTCTCTTGGCAGACAGCAACTTCGTGCTGGGCAATGCACAGGTGCCGGCGCTGTTTCCCATCGTGTACTGCTCAGACGGTTTCTGCGAGCTGACGGGCTACCCGAGGGCCCAGATCATGCAGAAGGGATGCGCGTGTGCCTTCCTCTACGGCTCCGACACCAAGGAGGACGCCATCCGCGAGATCGACGACGCCCTCGAGAACAAGACCGAGCTCAAGCTCGAGCTCATCTTCTACAAGAAGAACGGTGAGACCCCTTCCCTCTCGGGACCGTCGCTGGCCGAGTATTATCAGGGTGCATAGCAGCTCGTAGCTCGTGCAGCGCGCGCTGCCCACAAGCGCCTGCCTGCCAGTTACGATGTAGACCAGGATCGTATGCCGACGTGCAGTCGCGTGTAACTATACTGCCCGATGTAAGTATGCTTAGAGACACCAGGCTATAGCAGCGGTATGACTCTGGCTAAATGTTCTCATCTAGAGCGGCCACTCAGATTCCCTTCCCTCTTTGTAAACATGCGCATGACACAAGTACTACTTTTTCGTGTTCGGCCGCGCGTTGTGGCGCGCCGCTGTCGATGTACCGGGAGTTGCCCGCAAAGTTCGCCTGCGAGAGTGCGTCAGGAGTATAGTGTTCACACGTGTCACTCGTGATGCAGTTGCTGCCTAGAATTTCACAGTTTCCTCGGTTCCGTCAGGTTATGTTATGAATTTGGGATGTTTTTTTCGGGAGTTCGATGCGTACATATAACGTCAAAACGTCGCCGAGGAGATGGCTGCGGTTTTGCTTCTACGGGTTCAACGGAATTCAGTGGCTACGGGACAGGCTGTTGAACGGATGCACTGGTTAACGCCTAACAGAAGAAATGCCCTTTCTTTGGCGTTCCGAAAAGCAACGCTGCAATAGGAGCCTGAGAAAGGAATTTGTATCGATCACGCAAATGCCGGGAAGAAGCAAGCGCCGTCTACGAGCTGTATTTTGAGCCTCGCTTCGGCCTTCCTGATTACGTTTACGTAATTGGCAGAAAGGCGGTGAGAATTCCTAACCCCCCCCCCCCCCTTCCTTATGCTCAAACCAGACGAAGAGCCGACCCTGCTACTAAATTCACCTTAGTATCGGAGTCGTAAGAATCCCGCAGCACAAGTGGGAAGAAAAAAAAAAAGAAACTAGACCACAGCATCGGTTGCAAAGGAGTCGGTGCTCGCTGAAGAAATTGACACGTCGTCACCAGAAAGAACCGCTGGAGCTTCCGCCCCTAGTTCTAAAGACGTATCGATCGCGGTTCTGCAGGTTTCCTGAACACGCCAACGCCGCACTGGCTGCTCACAAGTTCAAAAAGTTCGACGGAAATGATGACAATAAACCACGTTGTGATTTTCTTTTTCTCTTCACATTACCGCTTCTTGAAATTCTAAAATACTTTTTCGATGCCTTATTTCTGTATGGATCTGTTTGGTTTCTCTCCTTTTGTTTTGCTTTATGGTGAAAACGACTTTCGACGAGATTTCGAAAAGCTCTTTGTAAACTTTGCTGCGTTTTATCGAATGAAAGTACTACCAGGTTAAATGAACAATGTCGCAGTGTTTTAACTGCTAAACGCTTAAACGCTCGAAAAAAAGTGTTACACAAGGTGCCTTCATTTTAATTGAACGCCGGCTGCTACGAACACACGTCGAGTGGTTTTGATGTGCATGAATACGTAAAAATTAGAAAACCTCCGCGACGATCGCTTCCAAGTTCCCCTGCGCGAAACAATCGGACAGGTGAAACATTCCGCTCTACCAAGACACCGAATAACATAAAAAATTTGCCCTTAAGCACGTGGCGGCGAACAATCGTAGCGCGGCCCTTTGTCAACAGTTATGCCTCAACATTACGGACGCAAATTCACCACCCTACTAAACTCCAAGAACAGTCAGTGTACAAAGATATCATGATACTGTTAGCACCAAGAAGCGATCGCGCTTGTTTATGTTTTTTCTTTAGAATTAAAAAGTTCTAAGGAAAACAGCTGGTGCGTTTAGAAATGCTCCATCGTGGCACTAAGATAACCGTTAAAACAAATCGTTCGCTCGTACATTTTCTGAGTCAAATTCCTCAAGAGGGCCAATGTAGTCTTCGCGCTAACTTTGTGGCACAGTGTACGCTGTGCCACAACGACACGGACGTTCTGCGTTCCCCCACCTGTCGTCACTCACGAATTCACCTTACCGTTATAAGGCGTCGCTAGGACACCTGTCTTCGCCAGGTGGCTCCTCCCTCTTTCCTCCCCTACCCCATTTCGTTACTTTAAGTCAATGACTGAATTGAATTTTCCGAGACGAGTACCGCGCGTGCGTGCGCTTTTCTCGAACCTACACTCTAAAAAAGAGCCCGTGCGTCTACTTGCCCGCACAACGCTCAGAGAGCCAACCAGCTCAACTTATGGAGGCTGCTCAGCGAATGACGATGCCGAAACACAGGTTTAGACCAGTCTGAGTTGTGGCATTAAGCAATGCAAAGTGCCATTTCGGAGCTGATCCGATGTGGTAGTGAAGTACGTCATAGAAGCTGCCAAGCAGTACGACGACTATAGCTGCGATCCTGTCGTTGAATGCCGCGTTCCAACCCGCGGCCTCTAGAGTTTCCTTTTTGTCGAGTGACAAGTTGCACAACAAGCTATACGGCCTATCAGGTGTCGGGTGCGTTCATCTGCGTTGCATCCATCGGCTAAGACTGCCTCCACACTAGAAAACCGATGGGACAAAGTGAACATCCGGTAAATATACGCCACTCGAAAAGGCATATACTGGGCACCATGTTGCGAGACGATTATATCCCGTAGAAATCGGTAGTGTTTCGAACATGCGATAACGTTGAAAAAGCTAATAAGAAACGGGTAAAACGCCACGGATGCTGGGAGTTAGGCAATGGTCGGAACGGGTGCTTCGTCAGGAATTCGACAAATTTTCGCTTACACAAAACGACATCCTCATTTCGAGCTGAATGTTTGTGGCACACAAACGCTAGCTTGTGCCTTAGTAACGCGAAATGGTTAGCTGAATGTTTGGTGTTACCGTGGATATATTCTAACAATTGGATGCTATATACATTTCCGGTGTCTCAAGTGGCTATGCGAAACTCTCTCGAGATGAACGGCTTTCTTTTTCTTGCTGTGGAGATCAGTAAGATGGGGCCAAGGAAACGTAGCCATGAGTACGATACAGAAATAAATATTTAAAAAAACGCTGCTTTTATCAGGCTTTATGCTGCACTCGTGCACACTTCCTCTTGATTAAAAAGCTGCGAGCGTGATCTGATAAGTTGAGATATGGTGCCGTGTTCTAAGGACACAATATTATTGTCGGGTTCAATGTCTCACACGTGGCACAACCTTAGTGTCGAGTTCAATGTCCAAAAACTCGAGCAAGGAGTTTGTGTGTGTGTGTGTTTTTTCTTGCTGTTTTTTTTAATTTTTTACGTGATTATTCATTTGCTTATCTTATCGTGTTTGTGTGTGTTTGTTTGTGTGTGTGTTTTTTTTTCTTGCTGTTTATTTTTTTAATTTTTTACGTGATTATTGATTTGCTTATCTTATCGTGTTTACTGTAAGAAGTTTGTTGCTTGAGTCGCATAATGAAGAAACAAGCAGGTTTTTTTTATCGTGAAATAAGGAGAGGGAGAAATAATAAACGTCTATTAAAGCAAAATGGTCCGGTGCCCGAACATAGTTACCACTGGTCCCCCAGTACAGCACGAACATGCTGTACCATGGCCTCCTCTATACTCACAAAGCCTGGCAGTTCGATGACGGAGCCATAGAGTGCCCGATCGCAGATTTGGAGCACGATGATCTGGTAGCACAGAGCATTTCTCGGAGAGCCTGGTATTCAGCGCACATCTTTTGCAGCGGCGAGGACCCGGAACATGGTTTTCAAACCCGACGAGAAAAAAAAAAAGTTGTAGCCCGAGGAACGCGAGAAGGACGAGCGCACATTTCATCGCTCGGGACAAGTGTGTTTCGGCGTCTCGCCGCGGCGGGGCGCCCGTTACGTGCCTCTTGCCCTTCCACTCTACCTTTTCACTTTCGGCGGCCGCGTCTCGTGGCGATCTGCCAGCCTTTTTTCAGTATAGAGGAGGCTATGGGCTGTACCACCAGGGGCAGTAGATTGTAACTTGATTTGCATTTAATTCAGCCTGAGTCGCAGAGTGCCCGAAAGATGTCTTCCCCGCATAGACAGACTAACAGAAAGGAAGACAGCTTTACAGGCGCGGAAGAGAAAATATTTTTCTTGTATGGGGCTGCGACGTATAAAAAAATGTGAATTCAAACAAAACCTTAAAATTCCGCAAAGAAAAGCATTTGAATATTAAAAAGCGCACATTATTTTGTGCGTTATATGTTCCAAAATGAACGGGAGATTATTTTTTTATTAGATCGAAATTTGTTTTACGAGGATATCCTCGTAGTCTCTGTTCTATTCATTTATTCAGTGTTACGGTGAGCAATGCAAGACGCACGAGTACAACGTGGACTCTACAAGTCCGCTTTAGAAAAAAAATGAAATTACAAATTTAATATAAACGACCTAATAAATACAATAAAAAAGGTTACTCTAGAAAGAGCTATGTTTTACCAAAATGAGCTTACATCGGGATGATTTAGGCGAAGCTATTTGAAAGGGAATGCGCGGCTTTGAAGCTTCTTTTGATAACCCTCTCCAGACCAGGCTTAACGTGAAATTGCAAAAAAACAGAGAGGTTTCATTTATCACAAACAAAATCGATCGCATCCGGTCGAATAAAGAAAGGTTGTTCTAAAAAAAAGCCTGCTAGAAGCAAAACTCAAAATACACACAAACCTTTTTGCGCATCAAACATTTACGTGTGTAACTAGCAAATTACGCTATATATATTCAACTAAATTACGAGTAAGTTGCAAGTAAGAAAAAAAAAACTTTAAATTGAAGAACATTTTGTCGAATCACTGCATTGTACATTATTTCCTCTTCATGTGATAAAATATATAGGTCAAACGGTTCCACTAACCGTGAGCTATTTTTCTAGATTAGGTTATCGTTTAGCCGCTGGGTTACCGGGACTATTTCCCTGGAGACTAGAGACAGGAGAAAAATTTGAATTTAATCTTATCCGCAAGAGAGACTCTAAAGTAGTAAAGACCGGATTTTAAGCTTGCATCACCGTAGCGACGGCAATATATTACAAGAAACCGGCGAATTTTAGAGTAATAAATAAAGCATTTGGACCCAGGAATGAAAATCATGAGCCATTCCACTCTGCGAAGGTGGACGACCAGCGAAGCTGTTTAGCCCGGAACACAGACGTGACACGGAATTTCGAACAAAAGTACGAACACATCATATTTTCTTGATCGGTGGTCATCGTGACGAAAGGTGCGCACAAACACGTGCCGCCCGCCACCGCCGCTGAAATTCTCGTTGCCGTTACCGCCGTTGGTCTTCGTAGGTGCGTTGCTCTTCGGGAGTCTCCCCATAACAACGAGAGAAGTGAAATATACCTTATTACTAAATTACTTAAGTCACAAGGGGAATGCAGGATATGGTGTTCCACGCGCCGCACGCGCCGGCGTCTGCAGCAGGAACTGTTCTAAACGCTGGTGTCTAGTGTAGTAGGCTGGATCGCGCATCGCGAGCTCGCCAGTGACACCACCGGCGGTCATTACTTGACACCAGACAATACCCGCAAGTCTATGGGAGAAACACAGAAATGTATCAATATTGAAGCTCGTATGCTGTGCTTGAAGGCGAGTATTTTATGATGTAATGCAATCATTATATCTGCTGTTTGGAGGTCGAATCGGCTTTGTCAAGCGTTCGTATGTTAATAAAAAAAATCAAACGTGCCGGAGCACCTACGGCTGAGCTGGCAAACTTGCTCTCGTAATGAAGTAAACAAAATAACTTGCCGTCAATAAGACCGTCCTTGGGGAAGCCCAGAAGTTGATGAATGTCGAAAGAGTTCCATGTTGGCAGCGGCTTTCCGGGGGTGAGCGAATTCCGCGTAGCAAAGCCCTCAAGCTTGTCGTCTGCTAAACACGAATTGTCGAAAGCGCTACCGACTCCGCGGTAACTCCAGGTAACTCTCGTCTCATTTAGCTCCACTACATTTCTCGCCCAGCGGAATCACTCTCGACCACAAAACATTTATTTATAAGAACTGCGAGGGCTGTCAGTTTTAATGTTTGTACACATGCTATTTGACAGGCTTCCCGAAAAGCAGCCAAAAAAGTTTCAACGCCGACAACAGCTTAGAAGCGAGGGAAACGGTACTTTTTCTCGTTTTTCCCATAAAGTCCCATGCATTTAGTGGTGTTAATCAATAGCCGCCGGTGGCGACACCCAGCCCCCCAGCTGCCGAGGCCGCGGTTCGCGATCCAGCCTACTACAATAGAGATTCGTGGCTCTAAAGCAAAAGCCCAAAACAAATGGCATCTTGCACGAGCGTTCGTCAAGGCTTTATTTTGGTTATTTACTTCGAATCTTTTATACGGATAAGGCATGCGCGTGCGGCGGTGCGAGCGTAAAGTTTTCGGTCTCGCACACAAAAATCTACAGAACCCTAGCCATAACCAGCTTCGCTGTAATATAGAAATTTGTGATTGGGAGTAGAGATATTTTGTTTGTTCATTCTTACCTAGTATGCTGACTGTACGGTTTATTGTCTCATGAACCTCTTTAAAAACCATATGGTTCCTCTGTAAGCTGTGAAAAACTGAATTTTGCTGTGACATCCACCCCCGCAAAGCATCAACTTCTGCAACATCGTACAATTGCTTGGAGTGGACGTTATGCAAGCTGCGAACTTTCCAGCTTTATTTTTATTTTTTTTACCCACTTCACAGTACGATAAGAAGGTGTAACTTTAAATACGATCTATTATGCATATACCACCGGCAAGCACTACTGAGTTCATTATCAGTCTTCAATTAATAATCCTGTTGTGTGCGTTTCAATAAAAGGCTTGTTCGGAATGAAATGGAGGAGATGAGAGGATAAGAATTGGGAGAATTGCAAAATCTCTTCCGAAAAGATAAACACGTCTGAGCAAAACCTAGCATTTGTTTTGGTGCTTTGTGAGCGTAAAGCATCTATTGTGTGAACTTGCTAGTCAACGGAAAATAAATACTGTCGAGACCGGTTATAACGAAGCCAACGGGAATTTGAAACTGCTTCGCTATATCCGCTAATTCGTTATAACCGGTCTTGGCAGCAGTCTCGTACCCATTTAAGGACTCTTCGTAAGCCTAATCTGCCTTGTTCGTCCATTGCAGGCAGCCCTTTCTGGTGCCTTCTGGACATCGTGCCCATCAAAAACGAGAAGCATGAAGTCGTCCTGTTCCTCGCCTCGCACAAGGATATCACCAAATCCAAGATGGCCGAGATTGAGACGGACGACGCGGACGAGACGGCGGAACTCGGTCCGTCTGATAACAACGACTCCCCCTTCCCTTCCGCGATCCCCGAATCTTTCGTAGCCCACCCTCTCGCCCCCTTCCCTCTGTTTCGGTTCATCTGCGAAGAGTTTCTCTGAGAAGCTCTTGGACCGCTTGTTCTCTTCTCGAGTTATACCTTTCACTCTACGTAACTTTATTTTCGTATTTTTTTTTTGTGTGTGTGTGTGTGTGTGTTCTGCTATTAAGTGGTTGTTTTTTACTTTACGTTTCGCTTCGTCCGACGTGGTTTTCTTTCATTTCATACCTTTAACGTGTTCTCAAAGGCATCGAAATGCATATAGGTTCGATTCAAAATATTTAAACGGCCCCCCCCTCCTCAAGTCAATTATGTCAGAAACATTGTAAGCATAGTGACTGAATTATTTTTTTGTATTCTTCAAACTTCGAGGTCACATCAAACGCACGCTGAGGTCTGCCATTTTATTTGAGCAAAGTCACGGTCTGAAAAAAGAACGCTTAAAAAATATAATCACGCAAAAAATAACGACGTGTTAAGCCCGCACGTGAACACTAGAATTTGGGGCACCAAACAATTACTAATCAGTGTTGCATTCGGCGCCTTTGTTCAAGCAATGGCGGACAAAGAGCACGTTCCAAATATAAAGGCGATAACGAGGTAATTACATTAAAAAAATCCTTTCGCTTATTTTGTTTTTTGAGTAGCGAAAGGAAGGCGTAACCCAAAAATGGAGCGAAGCTTTTTTTTTTTCCTCAATAAGTACTCAGATCTTTTCTTCTCTTTATTATGGTCAGTATACAACATGTTTTATGAAGCGATCATAGCCTGTAAACAACGCATTGTGATAATGTAGTTTGGCAACATAAAAATTAAAGGTTATCTTGATCGCGAGAGAAAGAACTAAGGGGCATCCCGTTACGGACATCTGTTTCAAGACCTTCAATATCAACGATGTGCACGCACGAACTCGGTTGAAGTACTTGAAAAGCGACCAGTGACCGCCTCTGTTCAATGGGTGAACCCGCTAACGAGATGGGCGATCGAAATACCGACGCTACCTGTCTTCCTCCCCACAGACGCCAACGGGAACGTGGACTTCGAAGGCTGCGCGCCCAGCAACAACTACCAGAGGCGTCGGAGTCGAGCCGTCCTCTACCAGCTGTCCGGGCACTACCGGCACGAGAAGAAGATGTCCAAGCTCAAAATCAACAACGTGAGAACCTGCACTCGCCCCTCTGCGGCGCTCAAGAGTGTACCTGCAGCAGAACTGCCACAAAATGAAAATTTCTGAGAAACAAATAGCGAAATATTTACCTGGCGAGATTCATTTCGAGCTTGGAGCGATATCAACATATTCTTCTATTTCAGGGTCGAGGTCTCAAAATAGGAGCACGCTACGCAATCGGTTTCACCCAAAAGTTATTTTTCTGTTTTTGTTTGGTTTTTGTTTTGTTTTTTGCCGAAGATTTGCTCTATACCAAGAAAGTTTTCTTTTTAGTTCATTATTTCTTTAAGACCGGGTGAAGCTATAGGCGCTAACATAGGCTTCAACATAAATGGGCTCGCGAAAAGGAAGGCAGCTTTGAACTGTGAACCTCGCTTTTGTGTACTTCGTTCCTTGCGTTTGATATAAGGTAACGTCGCTAATGAGCAACACACGCCTATAGGGCAGGTGCACTTCCCAACGATCCTAACGTAGGGAGACATACACACAGGACAAGAGGGGCACGTGCACCTCTTGCTGTTGTGCTTGTTTATACTTCAAGTGCCCCTACTGCAACCAGAACGCTCTCCGATTCCTTCAGGAGCGCAGTCATAGCCAGAACATTCCATAGTTTACCCGTGTCCAGTGGTCAGCAATAAAGTATGAGCCGCCCGCAGCATCGACAGCGACCATCTTATTCTCGTCCCGCAGCGAATAAGAACGCCGAAGATGAATCGTGCGGCAAGGAGCTTGAAGAAACTGAGGCCTGCACTGCATTTTCTTTAGTCGCCAGTGACGATAGCCTGCCAAGCATACACACACCAAAGCAACCGCTTGACTACAGTTATCGACAGCGGAAGAAAGGGTATGGCGAATTCCTATATTCGTACAACTGCTTCGCAGGCGGTAAGATTGCGGATTTAGGCAATAAAATCGCCGAAGAACGAACCACAAAGCAAAAAGTGTGATCCCAATGGTCCAGGTCCTGAGCATGTTAAACTTCTCTTCACTCTACGAGGAGTCACCGAGATTTTTTTTTCTCTCTCGGCGACCTTTCAATTGCGGTGTGCAGAACCTCCTCCATTCGACGGCCTTGCCCGAGTACAAGACGGCGGCCATCAAGAAGTCCCGCTTCATCCTGTCCCACTACGGAGCCTTCAAGACGTGCTGGGACTGGCTCATCCTCGTCGCCACCGTCTACGTGGCCGTCGTCGTGCCTTACAGCGCCTGCTTCGGGGAAATGCAGGTACGCACCTAACCCGCGACACAAACTTCGGTCACTCATTTCTCTATAATATGGTGCCCGAAATCCCGCCTCGACCGACCGACCTCCCACTTACTGAGCCTTGATTCGATCATCTAAATTCCCATCTTGCGACGTAACTATTTTTTTTTCTATCGTCAAAAGGCTGCGTCCTCCGACTAGAAAGCTAGCCCAAGACATATTCCTCTTTGTGATTTCCTCGCAATATGGAGTTCCCCATTTATTCCCATATCGTCTATAATGTTAGTTCTCCGTAACTACACAAAAAGGCATACATCTACCGAGTTCGTTGCCGAAAATGTTGTACATAACGGGGTATTCATACTAACACTCCATTTTAAGGAGACACGGCTATACCAGATGTTTCAAGGTAGACTAAGATAACAGCTTGGAGCGATTCGCGACTCCAACTGTCTGTAGCTGGCGCATCGTTTTCCAAAATGGCGGTTATAGTGAGGGTGAGAGATGCGTGCTCGTATACCACTTGCTGAGTCCTGTCTAATGACGTGCTGGCTTCACTGAGCGACGCAAATTATTCCCGCTTATGCAAGAAAGCGGGCGTTGTGCGCGCAGGTCACCTCTTTATTCTGAAAACAAAAACAGTGTTTAGCATAATACTTTTGCTGGGAGGCACGTTTTAATTCAAGAAGAAAACCGATACTAACTTCTATTTTGGACTTAATTTCTAGATGTAGGTGTTAATTTCGGTGTCTCTCCTACCTCAAGATGTGACTTCGCAGCGTAATTATCGTGCTAAAGAAATTGTTCGCGGAAACTTTATTTTGTGACATGCATGCCCGATCCGGGAACTTACAAATATTTTGGAAAGTTCACTGTCCCTTTAAACACAGGGTCTGCCTTACACCGTATAAGCAATAGAATACTGTATTTTTTTAAAAAAATTGCGCTGGTATTTGTGTGTTCTTTGAGCCTTTTTTTACTCGGATGAAGGTCAAGTGAAATAATGACCTGCGGGCCCTTTAATGGGTTTTGGGGCATTTAGATTATTAATATCTGATCAGTTGAAGCGTTGATATTGAAGCGTTGATGTTTGTCAGTACGATATCCAAGTATTTGCTTTTTGCTCTCACACCTGGTGATGTCTCTGTTTTGTGCTTTTGATTTCCCTTGTTGATCTGAGTGTCTTTCGTACTTGTTAATATTTTTATTCTCAGACTGGTGAACTACGTTCCCCTTGTGCAGTCTTGTGTATGTGTGTGTATGTGTGTGCCTTTGCTCATTTTTTAGTGTGCCAGCACTAACAGAGATTGGTTGTTCCTTGACACTTATTAAACACTGATTGATTGATTGATTGAATGATTGATTATTATTCCCAAATCAAGAATAATAAAATTAATTCATGTTTTACGAAATATTGCCACGGGTGATTAGTTTAGAATATGTTCACAAAACGCACAAATCGAGGAACGCTGTTTTCACTACAAAAACCCCAAAACGAAATCCGAGTAAGACAACAGATATGTTGTTCTTTTCTTTTTTTTTCTAGGAAAACGCGTGACGCATAGGACTTTATAATACATTAAATATTTATGTCTATCTCGATAACAATGTCATCGTTTTTTATTGACTAAAAGAAATCAGAATGCGACATTTTTGTAAAGATGGTTATGGTTAAATGGCGTGTTTTTTTGTGATTGGGGCGTCTTTTGGAGGCCTACATCAGGGCAATTTTTATTAATAATAATACAATTAAAATTTTTAATAAATAGTTTTTCAAACTCTAATATAATTTGTTGCCTACGATTCAATTTCAAACTCAAAAACAACTATGGCAATCCAAAGTTGGCAAATTATCATCACTGGTGCCAATTGCAGCATTCTTAATTAACAAAGTTATAAAAAAAAATAATCGAAAGGTTTTAGCTAGTCAGACAAATCCACGTAAAATTACATTAATTCTGGGTAAAGCATACGGTGATTATCAAAGTCGTGACTTCTGGAAATCAGAACAAATTCCAAAATCGTAGCCAATCCTTCCAGCCCAAATGCTACGAAATATGAGAAAACAGATTCCGTTGTTTTTTCTTTTTTTTTTTTTTAATTACAACACTACCCAGAACCTTTTTTTTTTAATTTTTCACACCGCCGTTTTGCCAATCTCAGCCTTTCCAGTTCGAAGGAGCTCCCACCCGCTTACACGTCTTCTCACTGCGGTACGTTTCATGGAAAGCCGGTGAAACCGTAGCATGTTTTAGTATTGCGTATACAAGCAGACGTAAACACTTTGTGTTAGCGTCAGCGTTGCGTGTTCTACATTGCGCGTGCGCAGAGCCCGAAATTGCGCTCTTGGGTTGGCGCATGGCAACGACGCGCATGTGTAGTGTGGAGCACGCAACTCTAACGCAAACGCACAGCCCTTGCGTTTACTTCTATACGCGATATCAAAACTCCCTGGTAAGGTAGACTCACATGCCGGCTGCAGCACTCCATCGGGTCAGTGAAGAGTGTTGTTTGCATTCAAAACTTACTGTTCGCGAGCCACGGTCGCAACCAGCTCCGCCGTCCCCTCTGAAAAGGAAAAGCGGGGGGACCCTCACTAGAGCGCTTCCCGTTTCCGCCGCGGGAGGGCGAGCAACGAGCTGGAGGCGCGAATTAGTGTACGCACTACTTATCGTGGTTTTATCTTTTGGGCAACCAGAACCACAGCTTGAACAGTCAGCAACACTACACCCTGGTACTTGGCCTTAACGACACCTCATCCGGGGAACTGGGGAACGAGACGGCGGGTCCCTGGCTCGGAACCTCGAGCTCCTCACCCGTGCCCGAATCCCAGGTGGACGGCAACAGGACAATCATCTCGGACGTCATCGTCGAGGCCATGTTCATCATCGGTGAGCGCTCGCCTTCCTCACACCTCACCCCTGTGGAAGGAGAGAGAAGTGGCTGAACAGGGCCGGCCAAGGCGGCAAATGTTTGCTCGGGCCTCGCGCACCTCCCAGCAGGGGCACTCTCGGTTCAGGTGCTTTCGTACCAGGCCACGCGCGCCACCTAGGGGCCTTGTAAACGTGTGCGCTGATAAGGACCTATCGTTGAGTGCCTATCATCGACCTGGTACTACCCAGACGTGTCGCGCAATCTCACGTCGTTTGTCACAGACGCGAGCGAACCTTTGAGGCTTCGACACGCTTGTTTTCTGGGGAGGAGGTGCCGTTCAAACAGGTTTTTCTTCTTCCATCATGCTCCCCACTCTAAAGCGCCTTTCACACTCTTGCGACCGAGTAAGACCGAGAGAGACCAGGCCGGTTTTTAAGCCTTTTGCGACATCTTGGAATCAGCTCCACAGCAGCGCATCCAGTTCTAAGACGTCGTACCAGGCTTAAAAACCGGTCTTCTCTCTCGGTCGTACTCGGTTACAAGTGTGTGCACGAGCCTTAAGACTACAGCGCGTCTTTTTCCCCTTAAAGCACTGGGTAGAACCAATCGCTGCTGTCTACGGAGGGAACGAATGACGAGCCTCAAAGTATGTTTAGACCTGAAAGGAAACAGCCTCCGCTGGGACACTCAGCATGACGTAAGCACGTAAAACCTTATGCCGTACATTGCATCAATGGCTCTCTCAAGTGCTTTCCGGAAAGTAGACGCTCTAGATTTCTTAGAGTGCGGACTGTATTGCACCTTCTTTATCCGGTCTGTCTTACCTCTTGAGACTCCTATGCGGAGCGAAAGTTCGTCTGCTTCCAGCACATGATGTCAGAACTCCGAGATTTTATTGGTTGATTGAGAAAAAGATGTATATTGGGTAGAGCTCAAGGCATCTATCATTGAGGTCTACCCAGCATCCTTTCGATGAAAGCCAATCAGAGCTCGGCGTCGTTCTGACGTCACCGGAACTCCTGCGAAAGAAGCAGACAACTTGCTTTCCGCGTGCCAGTTCGTCTGCTTCTTGCGGACCTCCTGCGATTGTGTACCCTCCAGATGCGGCCAGGTGTTTTGTTTACCTCCGACCTCGATCAATGGCGACGCCCGCTTCGCTGCGTCGTCATAGCGCGTTTTATGTCTGTTCGTTATGTTGTCCTTTGATTGGTGTGCTCCTTCCTCCTCGCGTTCCAATGCGGAGGGCAAGTTCGTCTGCTTCTCGCGCAGGGGGTAGCGGTGACGTCAGAACGCCGAGCCCTGATTGGCTGATCGCGCCCCCCCCCCCCCCCCCCCCCCCCTATCTGAGCGTCGTCTGCTCCTTTGCAACGTCGTCTGCTCGCAACGTCGTCTGCGTCTGTCTTACCTTTCCTGCGACTTTCGGAAGTGCAGAGGCCATATTCACGAAACGATCTTACGCCAAAAATGTGCGTATAAGACAAAACTTAAGAACAAATTCGTATTCACGAAACGAAATTTTCGTAAGGTTTGCGCAGGTTACGACAAAATCCTACGACAGCTCCGAAGCTGTCTTACGCACTTCTTAGGATCAAATCAGCATGGCCGACAGCGTCGCGGTCGCGACGACCCACGGACGTTTATTTTTTTACGTGCGGTTCTGACGCGTCCCGACTTCAAGCAGCAAGAAAAAAGTAAAAAGTACTTGAAACAGACCACGACGAACAAGAACGCTGGATCCACAAACACCCGGGAAAAGCTCCCACGGCCACGATCCCACCGAACGCGACCAACGAGCTGGGCAGTTACACTCTTAGAAAAAAGGGTCAGTATAGTCCTCCCTAAAGGGAGGAACGCTCTTGACACATATGTTCCTTCAGAAAGGGAGAAACATTCTTCCCTTAAGCAGGGGAGGAAAAGTTCCTCCGTCGACTGCATCTCATTATGGCGGCCACGAATCGAGCAAATCGAGCTCGGTAAGGCTTAACGAGAACACTAAATCTATTGCACGAAGCGAGAGGAGCAGGAAATAAAAACGTAACACGTGCTTTCCGCGAACTGTATTTATTTCCTAAGTTTCTTTACCCCTGCAGGTAAAGAAACTTACGTTTCGAAAGCATGCAGTCACTCAGTCTTCTCATCGTCAGCACTGCGGTGTTCAACGGAGACAACCGGCACTCAGTTCGCGCACTTTATGTCCTACCTTTGCTATTCCTCGAGCCACAATTCCTTCGTCAACCGTTGCGTCAACCGCACATCACGGAGGAGTGAAAATCATTCGCCCGCAAAACCAAAAGCCGCTCTCAAAAAAAAAAAAGCAAATCCGAAGCAACCTCTTGGCTTATCTCACTCAGCACGGTAACACGAAATTATGGCGTAGCTGGCGTAGCCGCGTAGCGTAAAAGGATGTTAAATCGCTTGCCACCAGATGGCAGGGTCAAGCAGAGTAATCGCACGTAGCTAGGCTAGGTGGCGCTAGGTACCGCCCAATTCATGTTTTACAAAAAAATATTCTTATTTTCTTACGCCACAATTGCGTTTCCTTTTCTTCGGAATCTCTAACACATGTAGACACGTTGCGCACACTACAAACATCAGGTCAATATATACTGAACGCATACAAAGGCATCGCACATACAAACATCAATACAACAGCACACTACCCCGATCACTACTACCGAGCCCTGCGTTTCCGTCTTTTATAGTGGTCGTTTTGAACGTACCGAATTTTTCGGTGACTCCCTAAGCAAAAAAAAAATATTCCGAACATGTTCATTTTTTTCCAGCAATGTCATACATCTGAGGCTATTTTTAATGGCTCAGGGGATGAATCTCTTATTAAAAAGAAGACGCTCGATCATGCCATAATTATTTGAAAGCCAATAAATTGAGCCGCTCCAATGTGGTTCCAAGCCATGAGTTTGTTTTCCCGCATGGCCCTTCGTAGCCAGTATTTATATTGTAGTGTTCGTTTTTCTATTTGTGCTGTTCGCGCAAAGCTGCAATTGCCGTCTTGAATTAATCTCTATAGAGCGGATATCCACTCAGCTGGAAGTGATGCTTCACGGGCACAGAAATCGCTTTTCGATCAACTTGAATGCAGTCAAAGCCGCGACTTCCGACAACTGTTAAGTGAACGGAGCTGCGGCGTTGCGAGCTCGAAAACTTCTAGCGCTCATCCCAGCGCGCCACTTAGAGGGCAGTTTCTACAGGAACCGTAATATATTTAAACAGTAAAATAAAGGATAGCGTTTTTTTGTTGTTTTTTTTTCGATTTTGCCTGTCTTTTTTTTTTATGCTAAACTTTCATTATAAATATACGTACTTTCCGTCATACTTTCGTAGTGTTGTCTTTTCCCCAGAGCGCAATCGCTCTCGGGGTCCGACAGTCACATTGGCCACTGTACGATAGGAGCTTACCTTTCAGACCAGCGTTCCAACATGACCATCCACACGTCGATCGACTGCACCTAATCCCTCAAGTGGTTTTAAACTCTTTAATGTAAAGCGGAATGTCATCCTGCGACACCCCGGCCCCTCCGATAACGGCCCGACCAGCGGCATCAATGCCCGACAGTTTACGTCATCTCATCTTGTTGTTACACCACTGATACGCGAACACACGGTCACATCGGCGATAATTCCAGTCTTTTGTTCACAACCCACAACACTGCCATCACGATGTCGCTGACACGAAGAAATACAGAACCACGTTGACGATGTTGCTGACACGCAGAAGAATCACGTTGAACGCCGGTTGGCACTCGGCACGGGACAACGGAACCGAACTCAGCACGGAAGGCACCCAGGCAGCCGGCAGGAAAACCTGCCTTCCTTGGACGCAGTTCCCGCGATTTCCATAATGTCGAAAACGTCGACACAGTTCCTCGTGGTTTCGCTGCTGTAGTCGCTGTAGTTCCGCGTGTGTCCCGCAAATTGGAGACGGCCGTCTTACCCAGTGTATGTAGCGCTGCTGGCACTGCTCCGGAACTTCGCTATTTCTAGCGGCTTGTTAGCTCGTTTGATAAAATTAGTGGTAAAAACGTCAATGCAACCGAAATGTTCTGCACGTTTGGACTAGAAGACGGAATTACAGGCGGCCTTCGCTGCCGCTGAAGCTCAATCAACTCAACATTAATTTATTAAACAACGTGCACGATATGCTCGAAAAACGAAACCGAAAGAAGATGGGTCGGGAGGGCGAAAGCTTTCTCCGGTCTGCCTGGAGGAAAACGTCTCGGAGAATAATAAGGACTTTAATTTTCCTTTCATCGGTCTGGGTTTGTTTATGTGCGTTTTGCTAAACAAAAAAAAAAAAATCTTTACAAAAAAAACAAAACAAAAAAAAACACTTTTCTGGGGATCGAACCGTTGACCACTTGGTCAGTACCGCGATGTTCTACCCCTGCGCCAACTGAACAAGGAGGAACTCGCCCTCCTCCTTTCATCTGAACTGCCGTTCCTCCCTTCTCTGGGCAACTTGTCCGCAACAAGGAGGAACAGTCGCTTTTGCTACCTTTCTCCTCCCTTTTTTCTTAGAGTGTAGGCCTAGCAGGCTCTCCGCGACTCGGCGACCGTCTGCCCCCGACCGGCTGGCGTGCTGAGTGGAATATGCCCGCGCGACCCTTGTGAACCCTTCCCGTATAATATTTTGATTGCTGACCTCAATTTTAGATTAAGGGGTCAATTTCTTCCTCTTGTTATCTAAAGCAGACGACGTTAACTGCGCCAACCCGCCGACGCCGTTAAAGAGTGAGGGGTCTCGCCGCACACGAATGGAGGGAAAAAGTATTTGGGAGGGAACTTGCCTCGGTTCTAAGCAAAAAAACCTCGGCGCCCCGGGACACCTCGCCAGGGAGTCCTTTGACTTCCCTCCTTGATGCGCGTCTGCTAGTTGTTAAACAAAAACAACGTACCGCTCGAGTTATTTCGTCTGCCCTCTCTTAAAGGCGAGGTCGAGTTCGCTCCGAAAGTCGCAGGAAAGGTAAGACAGACGCAGACGACGTTGCGAGCAGACGACGTTGCAAAGGAGCAGACGACACTCAGATAGGGGGGTCGCGATCAGCCAATCAGAGTTCGGCGTTCTGACGTCACCGCTACTTCCTTTCTTATGTGCAGAAGACGAAAATGAGCCCTCTTGCGAGGCGTATACGCCAAAGACGGATTTGGGAACACTTGCTCCTCGTACTGTATTTTACCTCGTAATTGTTTTGTTTTTTCCCCTTTTTTTTTTTTTCAACGTAAAAATTGCTGGAAATGCATCTTACCCAATCCTAAAGAAAAAATGGCGCCAGTTAATACAAACTTACCTTTTTTTTTTACATAAAGGAAACAAAAAACATATGTTAGCTGTGTGTGTGTGTGTTTCTTTCTTTTTTTTTTTACTATCTACAATTTTTGTTGAGACTGCAAAAAAAAAAATTATTTTGTTTTTCGTTTTTTTTACAGAGCTTTACTTAAGGCAGCATTTATTAAGCGCCCTGTTTTCGGGATTTTTCGTTACCGTCTGACTTGTGCTTTACCAGCCGACTACCTTTTTTCGGCGTGACAAGTGACGGTACCCCCGCCAAAATGTGAGCAATCAGTTCAATATTCAACCTGCAAGGCTCGTTGATAGCGACGAATAAATAGCTGTACGAAAGTGACGTCATAAATGGATGGACATATGCCATTTACTATATCGTTTGTATTGGTATCGGGTGATAGCTTGCGCCATCTATCCTAGAAACACTGAAACGCAATAGCAAAACGCGTTAACTATTATTGCTTCAGAAACTGTCAACCCGTTTGTAACCCAGTATAAATTCGGTAATAACAGCTGTGACAACAAATTTACCCTGGCGTCACCTTGACGTGATATTTTGGTCACGACCCTACTTCACACCACGAAAGCAATGTCGAGCATGACTAAAGAACTACACTGCATTTTTTTTATCAGTTTGCTAACGCATTGCGCGTAAAAGTAAGTAACACTCTGGAACGCAGGTAGTAAGGCCACTTTCTGATCCATAGAAAACTTGGCACCTCGCCTAACCGGTGGAATCACTTTTCGGTTTTCGGGGAAACGTGGCATATCAAATTCCTTTTCGTAGAAGTGTTTTTTTTTTGCACCTAGGCAACCCGATAGCGGTGAAAGAGGGGAAGCTAGTGTGCCTTCCTCAAATTTGCAGCCACGTGAGTTTCAGAGAATCTCGTCGAGCCCTACAGTCGTTCGTAAAAGGAACTGGTATAGCAAATACCGCTCCGCAATTTTCACGAAAAATACAAAGTTTATTGTTACGTTTTGTGTGGTCTTAACAATGTGCACGTTAAAAGACTTACTACGAAGGAAAAAACAACAACATGAAATTCAACCTCATAAAATTTTTAAAATGAAAGTATTATTGAACAGACGAGAAAGATTTCCTCAGTATGCCCTCAAGTCACGTTCAAATGTTAAGACTGATGTAGACAGATCCAAATTCACTTGGCTATGGCTATGCTGTTCAGGAACTGAAGGAGACGGGAGTACGCGAGGAGGCTAGAACCCCGAGCTCTGGCTCGCATGATTATAGTGGCTTCACCTGACGCTAGTTGACTTCGTCTACACTGCACTCCTCGTCAAACGCGTTCGAATCCGAAAGCCAGGCGTGGGCGCGGCGTTTCGCGTCCTAACGCGTTCGACGAGTGCAGTGGAGACAGTTGAACGCAGCTTTACGTGTACCCACTATTCTATCCAATCAGAGTTAAGCGTTCCGACGTCCCCGAACGCTCTCGTCTACTTTTCTATTCCTCAGTTTCTCCGCTCATAAAGAAGTTTAAATCCATGTTATTTGACACCCAAAGTCAGCGTTCCGTTCCTAACAAATAAAAATAAAATATCTGGGACGGTTCTTAGAAACACGAAACAAAAGAAAAAATTACCCCGTAAAAGTTTTTTTTTTTTTCTTTTTACGGCGTGTATTAGGTTTCTGGTTAAGAAAAACAAAAGTTCTCGGATTATTTGTGCGTAAAACTAAATGGCCAAAAACAAGTGGCACTAAGCTGTCATACACGCGAAAGCTGAGAGGAACCACATTCCGGCGACACACTGACGTGAAAGAAAAACGAGGCGAAAGAAACTGCCAAGTTGGCCTTTCTTGCCTTCATCGTAACACCGCCATGCTGCGAAAAAAAGCCAGACGATAATGCTCACTTTCACACGGGCAGAAGTCGAAACAAAGAACTACTATCGTGTTAGCCCTTCCCCGGAAACGAGAAGATACGAGAACCCTGTCGGCGGGAGTAACACGATCTTACGCCAACCAAAAAACTGAACAAACAAAAAACAAATGTTTCCCCGAACCCCACCGACAGTGCTGGTAGCGGGAGCCAGCCACAAGCAGAACGTAAAAACGACAAGCGGCATCACTGGGTAAAGACAAAATGGCGGACCAGCGGTGTCAGAAACATGGCACGTAGCAGAACGGAAACGCGATACTGTTTGCCACTTCTGTATATTTTTTTTCTTTTGGTTCGTGGATGTTCGCTTTGTTTGTTACGATTTCTTTTGTGTTAACGTCGCTACTGATACAAAGACAAACCCCCAACCACTTTGCTGTTGGGCCTCCTTTGCAACACGACGCTGGCTTGATCGGTCCGTTGCGCCATCAGACACATCCCAAGTTCGCGAGATCGCGTTTGTTCCGCGGGATCTGACATTTCTTCCGAGAATCGTATTTCCCGAGTCCGTGTAAGTGCGTGGCGGTCTTTGTGTGGTTGTCGGGAGAGTCACTCAGAATGAGTGACTCATTGGCGCTTCGTATCCGACATGTTTGCCGCGAAAGGTATACACATCTCCTCCTGAACGCCGCCAAGGTTGCAATTACAGACAGATGGGACGGATTGCATCAGACGCCAACTGAGGCAGAATAACTCCCGGCTGTGTAAACATACATACAACAATTTGCTTTGACAGATGGGACGGATTGCAGGGTACCTCACTTACTTCATTTGAATATTCTGTTTTTATCGGTATGTGGCAACATATTTAGGTTGGGACAAGAAAGTGGTGTTACAGATATGTATCTTGAGAAGGTGCATCTTGCAAGATATCTTAGGCAGCCGGTTTCTCTTTTTGCTGTTGTCTTTGTCTAAACATGCATTTTTATTGAAGCGTTCTTGATTATATATTCGAATGACTAAAAAAAGCTAAACGCAACACCTCATATCCTAAAAAGAGGAAGTTATTGTTCGAGTACAACAAAATATCGGGTAGTTTAATACCCATTCACACGGTCCACGTAAAGGTACCTTTTACACAGGTCTCTTTGCTATCGGCGAATCGGCCCGTGCTCTTGTGTCGCAAGCACACGCCACGCGCGGAAGATTGTTAAGTGATTGGCCATAGAGAATAAAGGTTCCTTAGCTAAAGGTACCTTTACGGTCGTGTGAATGAGGAATGACTCCGTAGTAGCCGAGATACTGAGAGCTCCGACATATGTAATAATTAGTGGTCTTCAGGACTCATGAAACTAGAGCACTTTGAAAGAAAACACCCGAAACAAGAACCTGAACACTCAACTAAAATTTCTTTTTTTCGTGCATAAAGAGATCACGTATAGTGTGTCACAAAATAAAAAACAAAAACACATTTACCCATTATTTAGTTTGCGAGAGTCATTTTAACCATCGCTCCCTACTCAAAAAGTGTATCAATACGTAAATATTTCTTTCTCCTTTTTCCTGAAACTTTAATTTTGAAATACGGCCATCGCTCCTAACTAAAAAAAAAAAAAAAAGTGTCTCGCGACGTAATTATTGTGCTTTTTTATTTCTTTTTCTCGGGGAAGGTTCATTATTTCCTTTTTTTATTTTGACACACGTATACCATTCAGGTACATAACAAGGAAGGTTTCAATCCCCGCCTCAGCCCGGTTCGATCTGGATGAAGATCGTACCGGCCTGGTGTTCCTGTGTCACGACTGCGTGATACACGTTAACGACCCCAGGCTGGCAGCTGATCGTATTGCACGGGCGAAATTCCTCATCCACAACGTGAAGCAGTCTCGCCATTCCCCATCGGCAGACAGTTCTTACGCGGTCTAAACACGAATGTCAACCGATTTCTGAAATCACCTGAGGCTGGGTGGAGAATAAAAATAATCCTTGGGAGGGAAAGAAACAGTAAGACAGAAGGCAACACATTTGGAAAGTTGCCTTCTGTCTTTCTGCTTTTCTTTTTACTTTTGATTTTTCTCGTTTTCCAACCAACCTTGGGCATTTTCAGAAAATGCTAAATCTACACCAGCTCGTCTGCGCCACCACTCTGTTACAAAGGTCTAATTTTTTTTTCTCTGAGTTTAGTGTTTCTATAAGTACGCGCGACACGCGAATTGTTTCTTTTTTTCCCCTCTCTGCCCGAAACGCAGACATTGGCCTGAACTTCCGCACGACGTACGTGAACAAGAAGGGCGAGGTGGTGGCCAAGCCCAAGTCGGTGGCCCTCAACTACCTGCGGGGGTGGTTTATCGTGGACCTCCTCGCCGCACTGCCCTTCGACCTGCTCAACGCGGCCGGACTCTACAGCCGAGTGAGCTGCTTTCTCCTTCTTACTCTCTTTCTCTCTCACGGGACGGCGATGACGATGACGAGGAAAGTAAGAATGGCGATCCCCGACAGCAGTGCCGTTAGTGTCCAGGCGATCTCGTAGAAGTTTACCATAGTGATATTAGCCCCAATTGAAGCATCTTCTCGTTCTATTTTTTTTTTTCATTTGCTCTTTTTTATTATAAACTTTTTTTCTACTTTTTCATGTCTCTGTCTGGTGTTAATATGTGGTGATGTCTGCTTTCAAATAACTCGTAAAAACGCGCAGTAACCTCAAAGATATGATTATACAGTTCATTACTCGTACGCAACAGGCCTAAAGAGTGAGCGGCCCTTTCCTCATGCACAACCCTCCACACGCGCTTTTTTTTTTTTTTTTTGCGCAGTTTGTTTGAACGTGATAATAATGATGATGATGGTGATGATGATCGGTAAGAATGTTCACCCTTGCTTAGAAATTACTTTCAAAGTAGCGCAGAAAGCGCTCGAAGGTGTGATGTTGGCAGTTCCGTTCTTGTACGGAACAGATTTGAGGCTTTATCCACGCTTTGCGATTCTTTCATCAAGCTTCGAACATTTCAGAAAAAGCAAGGGCATAAATATATAAAGCGTAAAGGATAGACGAGGACACGAAGGAGGCGGGACATCGCTGTCCTGTCCGGCCTTTGCTTTCTATATCCCCGTTTTTATGTCCTTGACTGCCATGTGAGCTTTATATAAATATTTGGTACGCGAACAAACTGTCTCACGTTATTATTTCAGAGCGAAGCAAACGGCTGGCTATCGGATTTCATGGATAGCATTTCTATGTATATAAGAAACTGGTAAAATGAGAAGAATCACGAAAACAATGACAGGGACATGTTTATGTCGAATATAAGCCCGCTTAGGAAGTTCAGACTCGCAGTCAACGTATCACTAGGTGACATTGCTAGGATACTAGGCTACCAACGAAAGTCTGTCTGAAATATATCGGCTTGCACTAAAATACTGTTTTATGTGTGTGGCTTCTAGCACTTTCTGCTACGTTCCTTTTTTTATTTATCGCGGTGTAAATATACGATATGGCATGATCAGTGTCGCAGAGTAAGTTCAATTCGATAACCGAGTATTATCGCAGCTCGGAGCAACGTGGAGCGAAAGCTCGCGTTGCAGAACCTGGGGATCCTGGGTTCAATCCCCACCCCTCCCCTTTTCGATCTCGATGAGCATCGTACAGGCGTGCGGTCGTGTATCCCTACTGCGTGGTGAAAGTGAAAGACCCCAGGCTAGCAGTTGTACTGCGTTGGCTAAATGTCCCATTTACGGCGTACACCAGTGTCCCCGCACCGTAAAAGCAGACCGACCTTACGCTGTCTAAACAAAAACGACAAATTTGTTGTTGTTTTTTGGAAGGCAGAAAATTATTTGCGACTTGAGTTTTTTTAAACTCTATATTTTCGTCGCTGCGATTGGTACAACGCTTCCTTTGCATAGACAAAGACATACAGTCATTTTTAGACTAGGTTCTCCTCTGTCCATGAAGGTTTTCAAAATGTTGCTGTATTGTACGCTTACGACACTATATACCAGAGGTCTCAAACTCATTCGAGTGTGTTGGCTAGATTGCCCACCTTCGAATGGAGGAAGGCCGATAGAGTGGTGGGGCAATATTTTATACTCGGGGACAACAAAATAAACAGAAACAACATTGATGTTACACGTTGCAAAGCAGCTGAATGTCCCAGCGACGCCCTAAAGATTTTTTAGACAAGGAACCTATGCTTTCCGCTTTTTATAAGCTCATCGTTTTGCCCTCGTTAGCTTTCATTTGCATATACCGCTACTTTGGGCCCACGCCTGATGTTATAAAAAGATTTAAAACACCACCATACCACAGCACTGGCAGTTTTCAATAGAAAGAGAGCACACACCATCCTTGCCCTGTCGCACAATACACTAGGCTCAACCGTCACAAAAAAAAAAAAACATCTTTTCGTGCGGCAGTTTCTTGCTTTTCTGACAATTTTTATAGCAGCATTATGAGCAGATACTTTCATTATAAAGGTACTGTCTGACAGCCCGAGCTCATAGCTTTACCTTTGGCCGTTGCTCCTGCTGTGCGAGAGTTCACGCAGCCGAGGTGGGTCCTCGAGCAAAGAGCTCGCACTTGTATACCATAGAAGTGCCATTCACATTCCGGTTGATTTACATGAGGATTGGCTGAGAAGCAAATATTTAAATGAAGCAATACTTGGTTAGAGAAAAAAAAAACAGTAGAGTGCAAAATGCGTTAACAGGGTAGAACTCCTTCTCGAGCGAAAATGAATCGACAATATAAAACTATTACTTTTGGCGCATATGGCCGTCATGGCATGGGAACGGGACTCGCAACCGATGGGATCCTTCTGGGCGGCATCCCAAAGATCGGCGGGCCCCGTGTGTTATATATATATATAGCTATATATAGTTGAACTCGTATCTCGCAAACTATAAGCTCAAGGTTATTAAAAAAAAAGGGTAACAAGATCAAATCATTTTTTTTTTGCCTCAAGATTTACTAGCAAAGACGGTTGCTTTTTAAAGAGAGCCCAAGTGCCTCACAAACAAGTCACTATCGTCCCAGGACTTCAATGCGATTTGAGCCAACCTAAACCGTTCTCATAAAACCAGAACATAAAATAATACGCAGTTCTTGTTTTTTTTTTTGTTTTTTTTTTGTTTTTTTTTACTTGTTTGTAGTGTTACGGATGATTTTATTTTGTGCAAAGAGTGTACAGAGGTATACCCCTTTTTTATTTTTGTTTCTCCACCTTTCAAATCCTACATCCGTGAGCTCGCTCTTTTTAAACGCGGACCCTTAAAAAACAGATCCCATCTCGGCGCCTATTTGGGGTCGATATCGATTCTTAAGCCCCAGGTACTACGCTTGTCAAAACCAATTTCATCTTGCGGCACATCTACAACCGAAAACACCGTAGCAACATTTTTTTATTCTTATTTTTGTTGTGGACAAAAACAAAACAATCAACCCGTCCTATTCCCAAACAAGCGATGACAATGCGGTCGTCAGTGCTTATGAAAATATAAACAAAAACGCTAACTCTAAAAGACGAAAGAGAACGAGCTTAAAACCTGTCTCAAACAACTCTCAAAGGAGATTGTTGATCGTGCGCCGATTATAGTAACAGGCTTATACAATACGGGGAGTTCTTATGCGGCTCCACGCGCTCCACCTTAAATACAAGCGACCGTGATAAAGAAGATTGCTGACTAGTGGAGATAGTTATTTTTCTCAACCCTGTATGAAAATGGCAGATGAGACTTTCACTCGAAGAGTTTTCAGCTCAGCTCAGAACCTAGGGCCTGTGTTGTCACATATGGAACACTAAATAAGCGTTCTACTGATTACGCTGATATAATGATTTAATCTTAGACGCAACGAATGATAATCTAGGGCTAACACGTGTTACTACGTTGTCAAGGCAGGTCTAAATACTTTGGTCTAAGTCGGAAGTTGAAAGTGAACATTGTGAGGCATCGAGTTTGTAGACAGACTAGAAGTATTACGACGCGCTATCTTTTGCTCGTTTCGACCGCCAGTAGCTTTTTGCGGCGATAAGACTTGTAGAAAATTGTGTTTGATAAAATACTTTGTTTTTCACTCAATTAATATAATCTGCCTAGCGTCTCAATGAAGTGAACGTTTCGTCTTTTGTGCTCATATTTTTTTTTTTATATCTTTAGGAATTTGGGGAAAACATGCCAACATTATTTACTGTGGTCTCGCAATACCGTGGCGTTTCTTCGTGTCAAACTGACACCCAGGCGCCTTAAGACTACTGAAGGTGCACCCCTGCTACTTCTTTCTTGTTGAGAAATAAAAAAAAAAAAAAAATCGTGGCCTGGTTTTTACGACGGATAATAACTACGAGCGACCTCCTCATACAGCAACGCCAGTTACTGGTGCGTTTCTGTCACAATCGATTCTAGCGATGTCTAGATGTGAAACTTTCTTCATTTCTTTGCGGAAGCGAAAAGAGCGTGCATGTGTGCGATTAGAGCGGAGCAGTTAAATTCGGTTACTGTCAAATTCACTCTAGGCACAATAATTATATCATCCGAAAACCGCCTTATTCTCACCTGTGTCCAACGAACACGCACAATGGTGTGCGTGTTCACAAATCAGCTATTATCTACTCAGGGAATCGTGGCGCTTACACTAAGTGGACACCTCCGTGCTATGAAGCAACTGCAAAGAACACGTTAAAGAAACTCTACAAAAAAAAAAAAGAAAGAAAGAAATCACGGCGGCGAATTCGATTTCGCACACACAGCATACGCAGGGCATTCTTGTGCGTTCAACCGAACACAGCGTGTGTTCCTCCCACACGCGCACGGCAGGTAGGATAACTAACTCGGAGCACCCAATTTGTAATTCGATTGTCAAGACTCCCCAAGACAGGTCGCCCAGGGCGAGTAGGGAGGTTCCGAAGGAAAGGAGGAAAGGTTGAGAGAGAGAATAGAAAAGCCCGTAAGAAGAGGAGAAGAAAGAAAAACGCGAAGGGAAGGGAGGGTGAGATGTCTCGAGGGAAAGCGGACAGAAAGGGGAAAAAAAGGTGGGACGATCGGCGTGACGTAACAACGGAGGAAGGAAATGAATAGGAGGCACCAAAAGGGGAAAAGGGTAAAAGGAAGGAAAGTGAGAGAGAGAAAGAAGCGGTCGCCGAAATCGAACTTAACAGCATTACCGTGAAGGCCCACCTTCGAGTCTTGGAGCCCACCTACGCGAGGTTCGCGCCGTCCCGCTCGCGAGGAGGGAAGAGTTTGGAAAGGGAAGCGAACAGGCGGATGTGAAGATACACCTTGTATCTATCTGAGGTCCAGTTCCGCAGTGAACTTGTCTTTCCTTTTTTGTGTATATCTGTGTGTGTTTTTATGTTGTATTTCTTTAAGAACCGCCGGTCTCAAGGGACGGGCTCAAGGACCCGTCTCGAGTTTCGT